AATCAATCAATCAATCAATAATAATGATAATGATAATAATAATAGTAATAATAATAATATTATCAATGCTTTATAGAATTATTATTGGTATTTATTGTTACTATTAGTTTTATCATTCTTATTCAATAAACTGTCAGCCCCATACCAGGATCCCATAAGTCTAAATTTTTTCTAAGTGTCAGCGCCATACCAGGGTTAAGAAAGTAGGAAAATTTATTGCAAAAAAAAAAAATCATCCCACAGAGCTGGGACCATTTTAGCCCAGCTCAGGGTGTAAGTCTAGATGTTTAGGGGTTAATTTCCCCTTGTAGATGCTTATTTCTATAGGTTGGTTCCATGGGGGCTCTCTCATCCTCCTATTAGCTCAGATTGAGCCCCTGCTGGGTAAGAAATCTGGCTTTTTCCCGGGCTCCCCAGGAGGCTGTGAGAGAGCTAGAATTTTTCTAATTATTGCCGTGGCATGGATAGGAATTAGGGTTAAAGGCCTAGCTGTATCAGCCACTGGAGGCAGAGAAGAGACCCAAACAGCATTAAACACCCGGGACCCTGGTACAGCGTTGGACTTTAGTTTCTAAGTGTATAATCCATATCAGGGGTCCGAGAGCCTGCTGTTTCGCACTGCTTGGTTTAGTCCGTGGGGGGGTGCTTAAGAGTTGCTGGAGGTGCAGGTTCCTGGAGGAGACAAAGGGTTTTTTATTTGCCAGGATGAGAGTTGGTGGTTTTCCCCTGGATGTGATTGATGATGCAGAGTGGAGGAGCTGGGAAGCGGTGGGGCCGATGGTGAGGCTTCTTATTAGTTTGACTAAAACTGAAATAATTATGATTACCAAAAAAAGTATGATCTGAAATTGCTGCCTTTCATAAAAATATGAAAAATCCCACTATGAAACAAAACTGTATGAGCTGTGCTTACCTCATAAGCCCGAGTTTGAACTCCTCCCTGAAAGGTGGAGTCAATGCAAAACTTTATAATTGACTTCTTATTTGTGTGAATGTGACAATCAGTCAGAGAGCAGAAATCACACTGAAACACAATGGACTACAGATCTGGACTGCTGTTTTCTATGATCTGCTTTACCGGTAAGAAAGTGGTGACAGAGTTTCTATTTTTCTTTGTCAATCAGATAACTGAAAATATAAATATTTATTACTTTGTTTGCTTTACAGGCATTTACTGTCAGACTCTGAGAGAATCTGAACCAGTGGTTAAAAGACCAGGAGAGTCTCACAAACTGACCTGTACAGCCTCTAGATTCACATTCAGCAGCTACTGGATGGCCTGGATTAGACAGGCTCCTGGGAAGGGACTGGAATGGCTAGCTTATATCAGTAGTGGTGGTGGTGGTAGCACCTATTATTCTCAGTCAGTCCAAGGCAGGTTCACCATCTCCAGAGACAACAGCAAAAAGCAGCTGTATCTGCAGATAAACAGCCTGAGAACAGAAGATTCTGCTGTTTATTATTGTGCTCGAGAGGCACAGTGACTGGAGTCAGTTCAGCAGCTGTACAAAAACCTCAAACTGATCCGTTGTTCAGAATTTTACCTTTTTTATATGAGAACTAATTTCACTAAATATTTTCCCAATCTCAAGTCAGTTCAGCAGCTGTACAAAAACCTCAGCTTCCTTCAAATGTATGTGAGAGGAGCAGGGGCGTCTCTAGGCTTAAGAGACAAGGGTGGCTCAGCCCCTAGAAGATAATGCGCGCGCCGAATTTTTTCAGTGCACCTGCTAAGGCGTTGTCTAAGACAAGGGTGTAACTTTGTGTTGAAAGTTGGTGGGGACGGCTCATAAGGAAAGGGAGCTACCTGCGCGACGCCTTTTTTTTTTTTTGTTGGAAAGGATAAAGCCAAAAAAATGCGAATAACATTTATGAATTTAATGCTTACAGTGGAAAACATAACTGTTACAATATTCACTTACAGGTGCTGGTCA